CGAAAAGGTATACGGACCACACTAAACCCTAATCCTCATTATGTTGGTTTGAGTTATCAACGTGTTTCATCTCCCCATTATGCTTTTATATCTTCATTGTCCTCGGTTTCCATCCCTAAGTCTACAGGTTAAGCATTGTCTCATCCAGGATGGCGACAGGCTATGAGTGACGAGATGTCTGCTTTACATACAAGTGGTACATGGGAGCTTGTTCCTCTTCCTTCAGGTAAATCTACCGTTGGTTGTCGTTGGGTTTATGCAGTCAAAGTTGGTCCCGATGGCCAGATTGATCGACTTAAGGCACGTCTTGTTGCCAAAGGATACACTCAAATATTTGGGCTAGATTACAGTGATACCTTCTCTCCAGTGGCTAAAGTGGCATCAGTTCGCCTTTTTCTATCCATGGCTGCAGTTCGTCATTGGCCCCTCTATCAGTTGGACATTAAGAATGCCTTTCTTCATGGTGATCTTGAGGATGAGGTTTATATGGAGCAACCACCTGGTTTTATTACTCAGGGGGAGTCTCGTGGCGTTGTATGTCGCTTGCGTCGGTCACTTTATGGTCTAAAGCAGTCTCCTCGAGCCTGGTTTGGTAAGTTCAACGCGGTTATCCAGGAGTTTGGCATGACTCGTAGTAAAGCTGATCACTCTGTGTTTTATTGCCACCCTGCTTCAAGTCTATGTATTTATCTGGTAGTCTATGTTGATGATATTGTTATTACGGGCAATGATCAGGATGGTATTACTAATCTGAAGCAGCATCTCTTCCAGCACTTTCAAACTAAGGATCTAGGCAGATTGAAGTACTTTCTAGGTATTGAGGTTGCTCAATCTAGCTCAGGTATTGTTATTTCTCAAAGGAAATATGTGTTAGACATTCTTGAGGAAACAGGGATGACAGGTTGCAGACCTGTTGACACTCCGATGGATCCGAATTTGGTGAAATCAGTCGGATGGAACTTGTGTGCGATAATCAAGCTGCACTTCATATTGCAGCAAATCCGGTGTTTCATGAGAGAACTAAACACATTGAGATTGATTGTCACTTCGTCAGAGAAAAGATACTCTCAGGAGATATTACTACGAAGTTTGTGAGATCGAATGATCAACTTGCAGATATTTTCACCAAGTCCCTCACTAGTCCTCGCATTGATTATATATGTAACAAGCTCAGTACATATGATTTATATGCTCCGGCTTGAGGGGGAGTGTTAGAGATAGCTATGTAATTGTCTCACATTGGAATAGGAGTAGTATCCCCTTTGTATAGAGTAGCTATAAATAGCACCTCTTGTATTGCATCACATACAATATCAATATATCATATTTTCTCCCGTGCCTTCTCACAACTGACATGGGAGAACCTAAGAGTTATGAAAAAGTCATGCAGGATACTCACAAAGATCAGTAGATAGAAGCAATGAAAGATGAGATGAAGTTACTCCATGAAAATGGCATATATGAGTTAGTGAAATTACCGAAAGGTAGGAGAGCTTATCAAACAAATGGATATTCAGAATAAAGCAACATCAACATACCTTTGCGCCTAGGTACAAGGTGAGATTAGATGTTAAAGGTTTTGGCCAGAAGAAGAGAGTTGACTTTGAGGAAATTTTCTCCCCTGTTGTGAAGATGTCTTCTATTCGTGTGATTCTAAGCTTAGCCACGAGTCTAGATTTAGAGGTTGAGCGGATGGATGTAAAGACTGTTTTTCTTCATGGTAATTTAGATGAAGAGATTTATATGGAGCAACCTGAGGGTTTTGTAACTAAGGGAAACGAAAACTATGTTTGCAAATTGAAAAAGAGCATGTATGGATTGAAACAAGCTCCAAGGCAATGGTATTTGAAGTTTGAATCTGTCATACAAAAATAAGGGTATAAGAAAATTTCTTCAAATCACTATGTATTCTTCCAGAAGTTCTACGATGATGATTTTATTATCTTATTGCTTTATGTGGAGGATATGCTTATTATTGGCAAGAATAAATCCAGAATTGAAGCCCTTAAGAAGCAGTTGAGCAAATCATTTGCGATGAAGGACTTAGGGCCAACAAAGAAAATCTTGGGCATTCAAATCCACTGACACGGAGATAGAAAGGAGTTATTTTGTCCCAAAAGCAATACATTGAGAAGGTACTCAAGAGGTTCAATTTGACAGATGCAAATATAGTTAGTACTCCTCTTGCTATACACTTTAATGATATACACTTTAAATTGAGTATTAGTTAGAGCCTATCAACTGATGAAGAGAAAATGAGATGTCTCGTATTCCTTTCTCTTTTGTTGTTGGTAGTTTAATGTATGCTATGGTTTGCACTAGACCAGATATTGCATATGTCATTGGTACTATTAGTAGATTTTTTTCTAATAATGGAACAGAACATTGGGATGCAATAAAATGGATATTAAGGTATCTGAAAGGTACTGCGGATTTGAAGTTGTGTTTTGGTAGTGGCAAGCTCAGGTATATGCAACACGGGGCTAGAATGTTTTGTTAAATTGAGAAAATAATTCCTAAAATTTGATGCATCACATTAATGGTCCAAGGGGACAAGTGAGATATAAATATTTCATTTTTGATAAGGTAAAGAATATTATTAAATTGGTACCAAGATGGTACAGAAAAAACATGAGACATTAATATTTTTTCACTTAAATTCAGAAAATTCAGAGAGCAATATTCAAATGAAAAGAAAGAAAAAAAGAAAATGATGGGTAAATAAACTCTTTGTGCCTTAATGTCCAGCAGAAAGTGTACACCACGGATTAGAAAGTTATATATTCGGGTTATAACCTACAAAGATTAGTTTATCAAAAGAAAAAAAAAGCTACAAAGGTTATATGACAAGCAATTGTATAGCATCTGACCCAGATAAGATCATATTCACCGAATAACTTAAAATAAACATATAAAAAGCCACCTCCACTCTCTAGTTCTTAGAGGTATATGGAATGTGTTGGGCCATGTCCATGTCATTCAGCCAAAGGCCCAATGGCCTAATCCTATTCTCTTCTGGTTTCCATTCCTATTCGGAATTGGATTCGATTTTTATTCCTAATTGAAGTTGGTTTTGGCTTTAAGAGAAAACACCACTCATTATCTATAAATAGTGCATTGGAGAATTGCTCTATGCTTATTGATATAAGTCTTTGAAAAACTTTAGCACATAAGAGTGGTTTTTTAGAGAGCTTCCATCAAGAGAGAAGAGAGAAGAAAAAGTATTCGTTTTGCTGCAGAGTTTATTCCAACCAGCCAGCTTCAAATCACGTTTTCAGATTCATTCATCGTTAGATCGGGCTAAAATATGACTAAGTGTTCCTAACATCTTGGTCTTTGATTTGAACAGTGGAGATCGAATTTGGAGGCCCGTAGCATCTAATATTGAGCCTTGAACAACAATTCCGTTTTTGTGGTTTCTCCTCTTTCTTCAATTGAATTGTTTTTGCTATTGTTGCTCCGTGTTTGGCACTTGTTGTGTAGCCAATTTGGAGAACTTTCTAACCCTCTTATTGTTGTACTGGAGCCTTTTGGATCTTTGTCATCCCGTAGTTTTTACCTTCGATTTGAAGGATTTTCCACGTTAAGGTGCATTGTTCACGCTGGAAAAAGTGCATTGTTCACGCCGGAAAAAAATAAAGGTTGTCAGAATTTGATATAATTTATATGGGTAGGCTCGGAATCACTGGACGAGTAAGTTGTCTTGAAGAAGTTTTGTCAAAAAGTGACCGGAATGGTTCACAAGCGCCGAAAAAGTTACTGTAGCTCGTAGGAACCCTAGTTCGGGCGGCGCGCAGAGGTGCGTGAGGGACTTTCTGCGGGAGCGAATGACTAGGGTTTTATCGCCTGACTTTTCCGAACAAGATAGTAGTGTTGGTTTTCACACAACACTCACCGATGAGGAAACAACGCAAATCAATCTTGATTCGTCTACCGGAAAGACACAAGGTGACTGAATTTTTTTGTTCCGATGAGACTGGAATTTCTGGGGTTTGGTCGCACAAGGGTTTCGAATTTAATGGTGGTACTGGTATATGTACAGTACCACTGTAGCAATAATGAACCCTGCGAACAAGACAAAGTTGCCGGAAAATTGCACGGCGATGAGATCACTTCCCGGATGTCACTGGAATGACGCACAACGATAATTTTCTCACTGAAGCTCTGATACCATGTGAGAATGTACGGGAGAAAAATCTATTTATTAACAATTATACAATGATCCCTATATATAATACATATTTTACTCTTACTACATATAAGACTAGGACATATTCTACTCCTACTACATATGAGACTAGGACTATTTATACATAACTATCTAACATCCTCAATTTCCAAGGTAAACACATTTTGGCAAGCATTAAGTGACCACAACGCAAACATTGAACAAGATAGATATGGTATACTGGCAATAGAAGATTCAAAGAGGAAAGAAACTGAATTGCAGTAAGCAAACCCTGTTCATATTCCCGTATCCGACGTTCGACATTTTCAACATCTGCTGCTTGCCGCAAGATACCTTCAACTCTCACTCCTGGAAAATATTATAAATCAGCATCATGAAATGAGAATTCACAGACATTAAATAACTAAATAAACTTTACAACTAATGAGAAGCATTAGTTGAAGATTATAGCTCAATAGAACTTTGGCATATTGTGTACCCAGAAATACTGCACTTAGAACACCAAAGCAGAGAGAGGATGTAGTTCATCTTCTGGTTGAAGTAAATGCTTTATTTATAATCCTTGACTACACAAAATAATGTAATCCGAGTTCCAGAAAATGTCAAAGTAAAAGGGTCTCAGAATAGCCTCCTACTTTATTGTTTAAGCAGCAACTCACTGATACCTCCATTCACTGTTTTATATATGTACATGTAATTTACCTATTTGAATTCATTAGTTCCAATAATTTCACTTTCTAGAAAAAAATTGCCATAAATCTATAATTAGGAGCAACAAACTGATCAGATGTAGGTCAACAACAAGCAGGGAGGAAAAAGGAATTTAAGAAATGAGTAGGAAGTTCTTGTAGAGCGTAGGTAGGATTTATCGAAAGACATTGTAAGTGCACCACATTAATCATTTTCTTTAACAGGCAGATGATGATGCATTCAACTTCTAAAAATTATTGTCTTTAAAATGATTCAATCTCCTTTAACATCTTCATAAAGAACTGACTCTTTCTTCCTCAACTAGTTCATGAAGAAGGATAAAATGCATACTGAGCTGAGTTATACCTTCTCAGCGACCGCAATAAACGGGAAGAATCAATTTTTGTTCCTCATGGTTCACAGGAACATTGGTTCTGTGAGAATGAAGAGCAGAAAAAGGCGTAATAATGACCTGATTAATACAAGACACCTATTTACGTGTCAAACAAAATACACATGTATTTAGCCAACAGAACTTCTATTCTATGAACCTGTACTGCCCCCCAAAACATTGAACTTGTTTAAGCTTAAATTATGTTCAGTTCTAAATTAGATGGATAGTGTATGTGCAGATGAGTGTGTATGATGTTGAAATGTGTTCGGGATGGTAACATAAGTGTTGGAGATGACTTGGTGATGTGTTGAGAACGAGAACTTGCAGAACGACTTTCCAAGCACTTAGGGAGCATAAGTTGTATGCTAGATTCTCCAAGTGTAAGTTTTGGCTCGAGGTAGTGCCATTCTTGGGCCATATTGTTGCAAGTGAAGTTATTAAAGTCGATCCATAGAGAGAGCTGGATCCGAAATTTGAAGTTATGGGTTGAGATTTTAGCCCTTTTGAGTTAATGGGTTCTAAATTAATAATTTGTACATAGTAAATGTATTTCTTAAGACAAATACAGGTTTTAAGCTACTGAGCTCTATCAAACCCGTACTTCAAATTGTACACCGGCCCTTGTCCATAGAAAGTAGAAGCAGTCCAGAGTTGACTAAGACCGATGATACCAACAAAAATTTAGAGTTTCATGGAATTGGCCAGGTATTATAGGTTCATTTAAGGGTTTTTTTACTCTTGCTGCGTCATTGATAAGGTTGACAATGAAGAAAGACGCAAAGTTTCAGTGGTTCGACACTGGTGAAAAGAGTGTCTAAGAGTTTTGACTCAGCACCGGTGTTAACCTTGCTGACAGGTTCGGGTGGTCTCGCCGTGCATGGTGATGCTCAAACAGTTGGGTTGGGATGTGTATTGGAAAATGGTAAGGTCATTGCCTACGCTACAAGGCTATTGAAGAACCATGAACAGAACTACCCCATCGTGATTTGGAATTAGCCACGGTGGTGATCGCTTTAAAATTTGGCGTCACTACTCGTATGGTGTACATTTTGAAGTGTACACCATCACAAGAGTCTCCAATAAATTATCTTTTTTTATCACCAAGAAATCTCCAATGGCCAGTAGCACAAGGTTTGAAATTCGATGGATAATAGGCATTGCCCCTCTACTCTTCTCCACTTAAATAACAGACCTTTTGTTTGCGGTAAGGTTCAAAATCATGACGTGTGCCTTAAATAGTTTGGAGTTGTCTCGAAGTGATATGGTAGCCAAAAGGAAAGTTTTTGGAGTTAGACAAGGATTCGAACACAAGGATCCTTCCCTGCACTCACGATAAATGCAAGTAACAAGCAAAGGTTGAAGTAGCCGAAAAATATGTTCACGCCATAACCTCGCATCAAGCAAGTTAGCGTGAACCATGATTTTTCTAGGCCTAGCAAGGGACCAAGCGGAGCAGTAGGGAGAAATCGTGTGAGTAACGCAAAGGCCAAGATGGAAGGCAGGGCAGGGGCGAGTATTGGTGTTGCGTCCCCAAGAATTGCACGAGAAAAAGTACACTCGCGTAACGCAGCTAACACGCAAACGATATTTAGGTGAGGTTGGGAAAGAGTGAGGAAGCACAGCTACGCCTTGTTGCGTGAGTATCGCAAAAGCCATTCCTTGGCAAGCCACCAGGCCGCAAAATATTCTCGTGTCATGTAAGTAACGTGTGAAAAGCCCGGTCAGCCAACACATATGAATAGAGCAAGTTCGGGTATTGAGTCTTTGAGTTAGGGCTTGGTTCCAAAAGAGGGACTTCCTCCCAAGGATAAATCCAACCACCCAAGTAAATTCATTTATGGTACTTTGGGTCAAATACAACCTACTAATGCTAGTCCTATCAATCGCATTTTTGAAATTTTTCTAGAAAAGGTAAGAATCAAGATATGGTTCTCATGTCAAGTACAAATGTTAACTCCATAGAGCCATAGCTCCAGCAACATGTGAACTTATATAGCTATAACATTTATTTGAGGAGTTAACTTCAGAGAGGCAACGCAAATTAAATTCATTTGTGACAACAAAGCTGCAATAAGCATTGCACTTGTTGCTCTTGATCTAATATTCATGAGAGGACCAACTTATAGATTGATTGTCATTTTATCTATAAAATATAAAACTTATCTCCTCTAGTTTTGTTGGCTCAAACAATCACTTGGCAGACAAATTCACTGAAAGCGGTGTAAGGATCAAGGATCAAATATATGTGGTGGCAAACTTAGAGTCTAAGATCACTATACTCCATTTTGGGAGTCTAATAATATTGACCAGATTCGTTAGAATATTTTTTTTAAGATTCCATAAAATGTTCTGCATATACACTGTAATTAGTAGTAGAATATTCTACATATTCTCTATATTAGTAGTAAAATATTTGCTTACCATATTAGGAGTAGGAAATAATTGGTTACCATACTATTGCTAAGACTCGTAAGTGATGAGCTCTTCTTGTACATTGTTAATCCATTCTTAGAGCAAGACCTCAACAGAACAGAAGTTATTAATAGGGAACATTGTTATCAAAGGCTCATTTAAGGTGCGTTTAAGCCCTGAAGCTCAGAAAAGCTTAGGGAGGGTGCTTCGCCTTGCTTTTGCTGCACTCTAGTATATGCAAGGCACTAAGGTGTGTGCCTCATCGCCAATGAGCTCTATATTGAATCGAGTGGTACTAAACAACAAATATTATCGGCAAATAAGTTTATTACTCCCTCGTTCCAATTTATTTGAACCTGTTTGACTGGGCACGGAGTTTAAGAAAGAAATAAGACTTTCAAAACTTGTGGTTATCCTAATATTTGTGTGACTATAATTCTTTTAAAACTTGTGATATTAAACATGCCAAAGTATTTGTGTGGCTATAAAAGCTTATCAATAAGGGTAGAACTAGAAGTTTAAGTTAAATTGTTTCCAAATTTAGAAAGAGGTCATTTTTTTTAGAACAGACCAAAAAAGAAATAGGTTCAGATAAACTGGAACAGAGGGAGTAGTTGTTAAGGAAAATATTAAGAATGAATTTGTTTCTTTTATCATAAATGACATATGAATTTTTAATTTTTTTCCTTAGTTGCATCTTTTTTACTTAAGCCCGCACTTTAGTTGCGGTTTGGGCTTAAAGCCCCAATCGACATGGAGCGCTTTTAGAGCTTTTTGCTTTTGACAATACTGATAGGGAATATGTTGCACTTACCTTTAAGAGGAGAAATAAATATTTCAGGAATATGAAGCTCAGAATCTAGAAGAACTAATACATCCAGACATCAACGTTTAATATTAATTTGATACAGTAGGAGGAGAAGCTCACCATGCTCTTCTATGAACCTAAGGGCCTTCTCCAAGAATGATGGGGTTCCATCAATATCTTCCAAAGCAAGTAAAACTGGCTGACCAAGGACCAAGGACTTCACAGGCTCTCTTTCATTTGCTACAGAATCAAAACCATGAAATTAAAAGTTAGATCCATGAGAAAAATCATTAAAACACCTTTACGGACAAGTTATGAAAGGATTATCATGTGGTGCATAATAAAAAAAGATTGTTATACAGGAACTGTCTTACCAAATTTTAAGACATAGCTTTACTAATTGGTATACAAGAGCTAGTTTAGCTTTACAAAAAAGAATTTTAGTTCAAAATTATTACGATTTCTTACTACATAATACTGTTGATGACTTCTATTTTTATAGAAAAAGATGTTTCTCTTTAGTTGCTACAGCACACGCCTACTTTGAAATGCTTGCTTTTTAACTTTAAGGGAGTTATTTTCATCTTAGGTATTGTTTTCTAGGCATTGCTAGTTTATGAGTTCTTATACTCCACATTGTATCCCAACACAAAATAATAAATACATTCCCATGTAAGTTAAAAGATCTCAGCTTTAAGGGTTAATAGATAATCTCAGCAATATTTATTTGGCAACTCGAATGGGTAACCAAATGATTATCTTTTAACCCTTAAAGCCATGCAGGTTAGGTCAATGCAGTTGCAACATTCAGAAAACCTCATCGGGCATAAGCCCTTGAAATAACTCTGTTGATATGTGATAATCATTTCAGGCCAGATGAGCAGCAAAATCTCAATGAAGTGGTTGTACAGTTGCACTGTGGACGAGTAGATTATAGTTAGACATTGTGATGCTGAGATTTAATGACATCCCCTTCAAAGAGTTTGGCATCCCCTAAATGTAACCGAACTGTTGCCAGCCCTTCACCGATTTTAATAATGCAAAAGAAATAGATATTCACAACCAAACACACAGACACATTTAGACAAAATGATGAATGTTATAGCTTAAAAATCAAAAAAGCACAAGCAGAATGAAATTCTGTTTTCTCGCAAAAGAATTGTCTTGTAAATCAAATGTAAGGAAGGCTATATAATAGGCAGATTTTCCCCACAATTTGTTCTTATAACTGACAGATATACGTCAAAGGTTCACATCATTTATAACCATATGAATGAGAAGCTTACACTGCTCTGATGAATGGTCAACTGCATTTCCCTGATCATTCCTAGATACTCCATTTTGGGTAGTTACAGGATCAGCACTTGGTGCACTTGCCAAAGCCTCCTCAAGTGCTGCTTTCCACTCAAGCAAATCCTCTAGTGTTTCAGCCTGTGGCAGGGAACCTCTTAGAACTTAATCAAGCAAGCTTCATATATTTCTAGAAGCACATACCCAGAGCAATGATAGTACTAATGATGATGAAATGACAACAATGTAAAGCATAAACAGAAAGTTGAGAGAACCCTGTTAGAAATGGCAAAAGAAGTTTTACTGTCATGAATTCATTGCTGTCATGGTAACAGAAGATAATTGCCACCATAAAAACCAAGGGCGCAAGGACGTGACTGACTAAACATGAAAATAAATGTAGACCATTAGCCTACAGTTTTCACAATGTACTTGTTAGAGATAGCTATGTAAATGTTAGAGATAGCTATGTAATTGTCCCACATTAGGATAGGAGTAGTATCCCTCTTGTATAGAGTAGCTATAAATAGCACCTCTTGTATTGCATCACACACAATATCAATATATCATATTTTATCCCGTGCCTTCTCACATGGTATCAGAGCTATCGTGAGAGATTTATCGCTGTGCATAAATTCCAGCGATTCCGGAAAGTAAAATCAGTCACCGGAACCCTTTTTTTCCGGCAACTTTCAAAGTTGTTTTGCGTCTGCTTTGTCTCGGTCAGTGTTGTGCACAAAATCCAACACTACCACAAGAGTAGTTACTGTCCGGCGACCAAATCCCAGTGAAAATCTCCGGCGGTACTGTAGCTGTCCAAAGAAAATTTTCCGGCGCAGTTCCAACGTAGCGTGGGCCACCTTCCGGCCATTTTTTGGCGACGACTCTTCAAGACAGATTGTTTCCCTTGCAATTCCGAGCCTACCCATCCAGGTTACACCAAATTCCGACCACTTTTTTATTTTTCCGGCGTGAATAGTGATTTCAAAAGGTTGACTTCCGGCCATTTTTTGAAAAAGTTCCTTCAGAACAGTTGGGTCTTCTGGTAATTCCGATCCTACCCCTACTATTTTTATTTCATTCCGACCACTTTGAATATTTTCCGGCTGCAACAGTAACTTTCCAACTGCTACAGTAGTTTACTATTCTGGTTCAGTGTTCCTTACTCTATTTTCAGTGGATTACAGTTGATTATTTCTCTTATTTGGTAATAATTTACAAGATGTCTTTGGGAATTGATGTTTTTGGGTCTAAAAGCATGAGTTCTGGAAACTCTAATGTTATGATTACCTC